TATGCTTTAATCCAATTTTTCCAAGAAAACCATTTAGAGCAACAGTATCAGGTACACCATCACTCCCAACCAACTTGCTGCCTTCAGTCATGTGGTCATCCAACTTCACATAATAAAGTCAATTCTCTAAAAACAAATGAGATAAATCATCTTAAAGACAACCTACAGTATATGACAGAAACCCGCCAATTATATAAAAGAATCAAACTTGAGATAAACAATATCAACCAAAGAATATCAGCTTTAGAATGCGTACAGCAGAATACACATATCCAACAATAGTCTAGTTTTATCCTATATATACATCCACCGACACAACCTTGGTACTGCCAAAGATTCATAGGTAATCATCAACACTATAGATACCATCAACAGCTTTATATACGCCCTCCTCCACTAAAAGAGGGACGAAAGATACCAGAGGGACAGTCAAACTCATAGATCGAAAACAAACTGACAACGCCATGGCCAAAAATAAAAAGACAAACAGACAAATAATAGTACAGATGACACAACATAGAAAACTAAAGACTAAGCAACACGAACCCCACCAAAAACTGGGGGTGATCTCAGGTGATCTCAGGTGCTCCGAAAGGGTAAGCAGGTCCTGCTCCACATGTGGCACCCGTCGTGTTATTACAAATCCGGTAAATAGTCTAATTCGGTAGGTCACATTCGTGAAAAGGAAAGGGTATTGTAGTTACGACATAAGGAACATATCCGATATCATCTGTGAAACGATTATTCCATAACGGTCAACCAACTCGTGATGGCGTCTGTAAAAATTACGAAGAGATGATTTCAACTTCACCATTTGGAACACTTGGTTTAATAGCTTCCTTGTGAGCAGCAGTCCTCTATCAAGGAAATCATGATAGGAAATACAAGCCCGGGAATATCGTATCAATTGGGAGATATATACTCTGTATGCAGGCGCTGCTGGAATGTTGCTACATAGAAATGGAAAGTTGGGAAGCTGAAATCATCTCTTTTGTCGTAAAGTTTTGTTTTCAACCGACCCTCATTGTCAATTTCTAGATGTAAGTCAAGATATGAGGCAGACTTAACTGTATCTGTAGTATCCTTTATCTCTAGTTCGATGGGATAGATTCGTTCAACATAGTCACCAAATGTTGTATTATTTAGTGAGAGAACATCATCTATATAGATTGAACTAGATACCCCAATACACCCAGAACAATGTAGCCAACCAACATGCAATGCAATAAATGATGTTTCCACCTACAAAAATAAGACCAAACCAGCACATCACCATCAACAGGATCATCATAAGAGAAACAATAGAACCAACCATACAACACCCCATCAAAGAACTGACAACTCAAATGGTTACAAAAGAAGGCAGATACCTAGAGCACCAGTAAAAACATCTACCATATATCATCTGAGTTCTATTTATTTGGGTTCGTGTTGCTTAGTCTTTAATATTTTATGCTCTGTTTTTTGTTATTGTTGTTTGTCCTTTCGTAGATTTTATTTTTGGCCATGGTAATGTCTGTTTCTATTGGGCTAATGATTTTTAAATGCCCTTCCGGTGTCTTCTTTATCTTTTTTTAACCATTTTTTTAAATATCTTTTTCACATTTGATTTTTTACATTTGTAATTTTGTAAACTGTATAACAATTGATTCTATTTCATTTATTCTTTTCAAATAAACTAAATAAAATCAATCTTAAAATCTTACAACCAACATCATGACAGTGGTTACAAAGCAACTTTTCGAAATCAATTTTATTTTGAACCAGTAGTCCACAGCTTCCACAATAAAGTACATTACCTTTTGATGTTGTAACTGTGTCCTAAAACTATTACAATGTCATTATCATAAAGGACAGCTGATTGGATAAAAGTGATGAATTGCCACGCCTATATTAAACTGAGGTCCTATGAACTTAGCCTGGCGTCCTGACTCGATCCTGTCGAGCAGTGGCCCAGGATCCCAGGCTACTATGAACTGACTTCAGATAGCTGTCAATATGAGGGAAAATATTCCAGATATATTTAGACATTTAGTTGGGAACCCAGTATTCGATATTTGAAAAAAAATAAAATATATTGATATCTCTAACTGTTTCAGTATTAAAAATGTTGAGTAACGAACATGAATTGGAAGTCGTATACACACCCTTTTTGTAGTCATTCCACATAAAGAAATACAAAAAATCTGCAGGTTTTGTGATTTTGTAAGAATTGCAAATATTTAACAAATTCAAATTCTCATACAGGATGATTTTCCTTTTTTCCTCAACATTGCCTGTTGAAGAGAGTGAAAGAGGGTTAAGCTGAATATCGAAATCCCGAAAAATAAAGCATTTTATGCCGAATCCCGAAAAATTAATCATTGATTCCTGAGTCCCAATAAGTGTAAATCCTGAATTCACACAAAAATATAGGCCCAACCCGACGTCCCGAAAAGATCTGTTCAAGAATTCAGTTTATTCAAATTTTCAGAGATTAAAATCAAACAAAAATATTTTACACAAATTCGTCTTCAGACACGTTAATTGATATAGTATAGTCTGGGTTTTGATAGAAAATGGCCAATGAAATGCATACAATATCGTATGTCATGGGTCACGCACGGACTGTCTTACTTTATAGGGATGCTAATGCGGCACATCAAAGATAAGATATATTTTAACCAGACATTTACCCATTGTACCTGAAAACATTAAATTAACCTGAAAACATTTACCTCTTATTCTGTCGAATTTGAAGCCCGTCAGACAGCTCCACAGTAGAGACCTTGATGAAATTTGAAATTAAACAACTCTTCGTTTTCACGGTAACGAAGATTTTGCAAGTACTTTGTAGTGATAAGTTCATCATCGAAGTAATTTAAAATAATAAGACGCCAAGGTCGAAACTAGCTCTAGCTCACAATAAAGAACATGTGAACCGTCTTAAAGCCAGAAGGTCTCCTTGTGTACCCGGAGTTTTGTTTTGTGGACATATGTTGCTGGTGGATAAAGTCGCACCGATTTAAACAATGTAGGGTCGGCAGAGAAATGACGATTTAAATGTTCGAGGAACAATGTATGTATCATTTGAATAAAAATATTATCTATGTAGAAATTTGCTTTCATTTCAACTTGATTCAAACTGAATTATGTATATTTTATTGTTTTATATAAAAAAAAAATCACTCCATCCCTAGTCCTATAATATAAGACTTCGTAGGTTCATATCGTTTGCATTCAACGTAAAAATATCCGATGAAAAAACGTAGATGTTATAGCAACTATAGGTCATCGTACGGCCTTCATCAATATGCAAAACCCATACCGCAATAAGCAAGCCATAAAAGGCCCAGACATAACAAAAGGTAAAGCATTCCAAACGAGAAATTAAAAGCCTGATTTATGCACAAAACAACAAACGAGTAACAAATATGATTCACAGCAACGAACGACAACTATTAAATTACAATCTCCTGATTTGGGACAGGCATATAAATAATGTGAGTCAAACATATTTGTGTGCGTTGTAAATTACACCACAGACCTTCTTTATTCAAAGAATAAGTTCGAAAGTACATCATTATTACCCATTCACCATGATAAAGAAGGTTTATAATGTATGTCTTTCGGATTCAAACTAATTAAACTTGGTTAGCGATGCAAAATTTAAGATATTTAGCTTGCAAGTTAAAAGAATTACAGGGGAAATTGTCCGCATCTTTTTGCACCGAAGAGTATCCGACGAAAATGGTATTATGTTTTTATCTATCATATTTTTGTTCATAAAAGACATCGTGAGTTTTTAAGTAAAAATTAACATTTAAGACTAGTGTGTGAAATGCATTGCCTCTTTTATAAAAAATCCATAAAAACAGGAAAGACGTTCCATCTACAAGATAGTAGCAGGATAGGCAATTACAGAACCAGAGACACGTCAAGAAATAAAGGAATACATTGCACAGTCAAAGTCAAGGACCAAGTCTAAAACAAACAATAAATCAACAAAACCTAACATTAACCAAAATGCTAAGAAAACAACAACTAAGCGTAAACAAAATGGTTCATCATCTTCTTCCAGTTCAACAACCACGAACAAGAAATTAAAGCAGAACCAACAAGATTCACAACAGCCAGGTCCATCAGGACTACATTACATAGTTGTTTCTGACGGTTCAATCACAGATGAAGACGATCAAGATGATGATAACACATTGTGTTGTGTTTGCACCATGCGACAGACAAAGGAGTTACAGGATTGCATCTCCATTGTATTCACACAATGGGCCAAATGTGAATTTCTACAATGTGATCATTGGACTCATCTTAAAAGTTTGCTGTGATGTCTCCGTCCTACGCAGGCCAGATAAATTTTACTGCCCATGTCATGGCTTACCCTGCAAACAGAAAGAAACTGAAGAATAATGATAATGATATACATTTGATAATTGTTTGACCGTTTCCAGTTATTCATATTTAAAGACATTTACTGTTGCCAGTTCTTTATTAACAGTTGGAACACTTTTGAGTTGTGAACATTTGCTTGATTTTATAATTATGAACTTTCTGTGGAAAGAAATTAATCATGATTCCAAATGAAAAAAAATGACTGAACTGTATCTTTAAGCACATTTTTTTTAATTAATGGTGAGTAAAAATAATTGTTATTAGCAACTTTTGATTTTATTTTGTTACTTTTAATTTTAATAATTTTTTAAAAGTTAAATTTTTTTTTTTATTTTTTTGGTGTTTCCATTTTTCATTTTTGTCAGTCTCTAAAAAATTAACATTATATACTTCGTCTTTAAAACAATGTTTTTATTTTTACTGAACATAACATGTACAAAAATAAGCTTGTATAAAATTACAATTTTATGCTCACCACTGGGTTCCATACTCTGTTCTTCTTGTGTTATTTTTAGAACGAACTTTTCCCACGAAAATAGGTGACGTACTTGGCATCCAATGCCGATTTGTTTACACTAGATAGCTACTTCAGAAAACGACCTCCTTTTGTAGAGAGCATAAGATAGGGTAGATAACTCCAGGAAAAAAATGACTTTAAAATTGCTTAGGTCATCACTCTTATTACGCACGGGATGCACGACGGTTGGATATACCTATATCATTTATTGAACAACTTATTTTGACTTGAAAGGATATTGCATGCAGATCATAATATAATACAATTAATATAAATACAGGTAAAAATTATTTTTGAAGCATGTTATTTGAGAAAAAACGATTTTTTAAGGAGAGTTTTTGCGGAAGAAGGTACGAAGTTTTTTTTAAAAGTTCAAAAATTGTAATAAAGAATTGATTATACCTAAAAGTACCTGTATTTTTCGTATTACATAGGGACCAATTATTCTTGGATGTAATAGTTTTGACCAAAAAATTGTGTGTTAGTATGTGAAAAAAAAAAGTTTATTTTGAGAATGAAAGTTTGGTCCCCTAGATCTATAGTCATTTTTTTTTCTTCAAAAGAATGATAAACCTTGCCCAAAAAGGTTTTCATGGGGAATATCATTCAATGATGAAATCCTGTTTTCCAAATTTTATATAAAAACTTTGATATTGACAAAAGAAGGGGAAAGGGGGGGGGGGGGGTGTAGTCATTCAAAACCTAGCTGTCACCCTTAATTCATAATGAGTTGATTACTAACATGTGATTTAATATAAACCATTTCAATACAATCCCACTTTCAGTCTCTGATTACAATCCTTTCTTTTACCTTACAGATTATCAAATATGATTAACCTAATTGTAAGCTTTGCCTGAGGGTCACATACATGTAGATATATCTATGCAGCAATCAAGGATCAATATCAATGAGTATCATGAATACAATTCAAAGCCATGATCAATTGTCCTAATTGTTTAATGATTTATTTAAAACTAAATGACCAATCTTCCATATAAGGCTAAGGCATAATATAACTAACTAGATACATGTAGTGATGTACATGTTTATTGCAACAAATGACAACCTCATGAGTCATGACATATTGTAAATTTTTAATATACTGCAACAAATTACAACCTTATGTACTGTAAATGTATAAAGCAACAAATGACAACCAGAGTAGGATTTAGGGGCAGGGCCCCGGCCCTCCCTTTCCCTGTAAAAAATTGATTAATTATATAGAGAATCACTGAAGCATGACCAGAGCAGGACCCCTCTGAGGCAGTCAGTGGGCGCGGCCCATAAAATTTGTTGATCTGCCACTGACAACTTCATGTAGTGTACATCTGTATACTGCAACAAATGAGAACTACTGAATGACAAAATACTTATTTCAAATCTCATAATTCCATTTTTGTATTCTAATCATACAAAATGGAATTCTTTCGCTACACATCACATTTAACAACACATTCACATTTGCTTTAACTAAATGAATGCATTTCTCAGAACATTATTGATGTATTGCCATTATCATGATTATGCACTTCTCTTTTGAATTTTTAGTCCAATTAATTTCTGGGTTTTCAAAAATAAACAAACAGTTCTTATTGTCCCCTGCGAAACGCCATGCAGGGGACATATAAATACTGTCTGTCTGTGTGTGTCCGACAGGTCTTGTCACCTCATTCATGTGTACAATTGTAATGAAGCCTTTAATTCTCCTAGTTACAATGTATTCATTTTAATAAAAAGTTTTAAAGAACCCCCTAAATTATTTTGTATACTAGTCGCCCTTCCTTGAATAAATCAAATATGCCTAATGTGTGGGACATTGAAACTTAGTTCTTTTATTGATAAATGAATATATACTTTTATTTGTTCTTACAGATAATCAAGTTTCAAAGACCATATATATACATCATGTATAATGTTTAGAAGAAGTAATATTTGACATCACCTTTATGGTAAGTACCTTCTGTTATCAATATTTGAATTGTAGAACTATACAACAACTTATAGGTAGATAAAGGAAACAAGCATGCAATGGATACTGCTGTGTTTTTTTATTTGGAGTCACACACAAATTAATAATTATGTCCCTTATGCTTATTCTCATTAGATTAATCATTTTCTTGACCTGCTGATTATTTTTATTTAATGAAGGTGTGGTTTGTTTGTTTTCAGTTATTCTTTGGTGAAAATTAATAATTACGTCACATTTTCTTTATTTCCTCTGAAATTTATAAAAAAAAGTAGGCAACAAATTGCTAATGAAATCACATAGAGATAACACATCTTATTGCAGGTAGTTCCAAAAGCACATAATTATACAACTTATTTTGAAAACAAACCAGAATTCTAATTGATAAATGTATTTATACTTTATTTGTTTTACAGAGAATCAAGTTTATAAGACCACATATTAAGATACAGGAAATTTACATTTATTCTCGCTGAAAAGGTTAGTAGCTTTTACTTTTTTTAATTATAAGACTAGTGAAACTAGCATGCAATGTAATAATGCTTTATTTTCTCTCACATATTCATAGATATTTTTTAACTGAAGTAAGTAAAATTTGAATTCTTAAACACAGTTATGGCATACATTTAGTAATTGTTTGCAGATGCCAGACTCTTAACAAAGAGTTATTGTTCTTTAATATGCACTTTTTCAGATAATTAATCAACTTATTTACTTGAGGCAACCAATTTGAATTCTAATTGATAAATATATATATACTTTATTTATTTTACAGAGAATCAAGTTTAGAAGACCTTAATTATTTACATTAAGATACAGGAAATTTATATTTAATCTTGCTGTTGAGGTAAGTACTTAAATTTTTAGTTTTTTTAATTGTTAGATTATCATGACTATTCAATGGATAGATAAGTGAAACTAGCATGCAATGCAATACTGCTTTATTTGATCAGAGCCACATACAAAGAATCCATCCTAACACACAAAATAAAAAATACATTGAGTTACGTCCCTTTATCAATGAAGATCTGCAAATATTCATAGATATTTTTTAACTGAAGCAAGTAAAATTTGAATTCTTAAACACAGTTATGGCATACATTTAGTAATTGTTTGCAGATGCCAGACTCTAAACAAAGAGTTATTGTTCTTTAATATGCACTTTTTCAGATAATTAATCAACTTATTTACTTGAGGCAACCAATTTGAATTCTAATTGATAAATATATATATTCTTTATTTATTTTACAGAGAATCAAGTTTAGAAGACCTTAATTATTTACATTAAAATACAGGAAATTTATATTTAATCTTGCTGTTGAGGTAAGTACTTAAATTTTTAGTTTTTTGAAATGTAAGATTATCATGACTATTCAATGGATAGATAAGTGAAACTAGCATGCAATACAATACTGCTTTATTTGATCAGAGCCACATACAAAGAATCCATCCTAACACACAAAATAATAAATACATTACCACAACATACAGATCAAGTTTGTGTTACAGTGGATTCGCTTTCAGAAGCTCCTGCATGCGTAGTATATATCTCTGAATTAATACTATTTACCGACTTTAGAGAATAACATGAGCTTCACAACAGTTGACACATGTGGACAAACGTTTACCGTTCTGAAGTTATGCCCCTTTATAATTGGCCAAATTTCTGTTCCTAAACTTAAATTCTAATTGATAATATTAGTTACATGATGTGTAAGTGACCTAATACGATATATTGGGTCAGTAAATTCAATATGGGGTGAGAGCATTGTTGTTTTAATGAAGGGTTGTGGCATCATTTATGTTTTGAAAGGGAAGTAACTCCTTACTAACCCCATATGGTAACTAACCATGTATGGTTGCTAACTGTATATTTTTTAGGACACCCTATAGCAAATATACATAGTCACCACGTGTAGTCCTTTAACCAATCATATCTCTATAAATCTATAGGAGGTAAGATAAATGTATATATACTTTATTTATTTTACAGAGAATCTGCAACCTTAGAAGACCATATATTTATATTAGATACAGAAAATTTATATTTTACCTCACTGTTAAGTAAGTACCTTTTGTTTTCAATATTTTGATTGTAGAATCATACAATGAATTATGGTTAGATGAGGGAAACATGCATGCAATTCAATACTGCTGTATTTTATTTTAAGGCATAATTGAACAATCCATATTCTTACACCAAAACCGGTACACAGAGTTATGGCCCTTTATCAAAAAAATAAATTGAGTTATTTTTTTTAACATACAGATGATCCATAACATTCTATCAACAAACAAATATTTCATCTGACTGCTGATAAAAGCTTTGGCTGCTAATTAATTTCACGTTAGGTGCCAGCTAGATGACCAAAAAAGCTCTTTAAACACATAGTTTTTAATTCCTTGTTGCAACTGTTTATAAATATGAATTAAGGTGTATTATCTTTTAAGAAGTTACTTTAATCTGTTTTTACAGACAATGGCAAGATGTCAATTTTGGACTGAAGTTATTCCTTATTATACAAATGCTCGTGATGCCATTATGTATAGGTTTCTCTTTGGAGAATACTGTAATGTACTTCCAGATAATAATATTTCCGAGGAATTATCTAATGTTTGTACATATCAAGGAGATTGTGACTGTTGTAATTGTAGAAGAAGAGCAAGTACTATAGCGGCACCTAGTACAATTGATTCATCTGATTCTCTGTTTGCATTAAGCAACAGGTTTTCAGATTCAATTGAACTTTCATGGCAATCACAGGCTGTTCCTACTTCACCATCACATTTTAGTGATAGTGAAAGTTGGATAACCTCTGATTCCAAGGACATTGAAGTTCCTCACCAACATAATGAATCATTTGCTTCAATATTTGTTGAAAGCAAGTCGTTCTCAGTTGATGAGGAATTAGATTTAGATCAACATTGGTTAACTGAGTCATCAAATATCTCGAAGAGTTATGATGATTTAGATAGCCAATGTTTGTCTGATGGCGAACACATATTCAACCAACCCCTTTCAGAATCAGGTGGTCTAAGTATTGGTAATGGTGAAAGTCAGTGCTCAAATGATTATTTTTGTATACCATATCCAAAACTAGTTGATGCACGTTTCAGCAATACTGAAACTCAGCCTTCCATATATTTTAAGGATGAACTACCTTCAGCAGCAGGTGTATTAAGTTTCAGTGATACTGAAACTCAATTACCATCTGTTGTTGATGGCTTACCATCCCTAAAATTATTGGAAACAAGCTTTAGTGATGCTGAAACTCAGGCACCAGCTGGTTTTGTATATGGATTGCCTTTAGCATCAGATGAACCAAGTTTCAGTGATGCCGAGACTCAATGGCCAACTGATTTTGAAGGAGGAATACTTTGTTTCCAGAGTTTGGTAAGTGAACAGGATGAAGATAGTGATACAGATTGTTCATCCCATTCTGTTTCCCTTATCAAATTCAAGAAAATGAAGTAAAGTGGTGCAATTTTATGTGTTCCTTTTATATTTATTACATTTTTAAAAATTATGTTTTGCAAAATGCAGGCAATTAGACATGCAATCAATTTTAAATTCCAAACTAATGAGTACATTTTTCAATGGATTTTACTTTGAATTAATTTTTCGGTAATTGCATGTCTGAACAAATTGAATAAATAAATTTCTGTTTATCTCAGGACTCTTGTTTACATCTTATTTGTCTTCTATCAATGTCTATACAAAAGCTAGAGTATAACTATAACTGTGATAACGTCACATACATTTGGATTTAGATTTCTTTTTACTGTACTCTAGTTTTTATGAAGAAATAGCTACTTGCAATTTTCATACTATCACAACAGCTCTTTATTTTAAATAATGGTTATGAAAATATTTTAAAACTTTGTCAATTAAAATACATGTATTTATAAATATTTTTATGTGTTTGAAAACTTTTATCAGTCAGTCAGTTTGTTCTAAATCTGTGATGTTATATTGGTAAATTTTGAAATTGCAAACTCCGGGATATAATACACACTTTTAGCTACCAATGAAGAAAACCTAATATGGCAAATGAGCATATAATGTTTAATAATGGAAATGACTTCTAATAAGACCAGAATCATTTATATAAAGGAATTAAAATTTATTTGTAAGGTGAGAAATTATTCCCAAAGCTTTAATAAAAATCACATGCTTTTGATATTTGTTATTGCACAATATTTTCAATACATTTTACCACTATTTCAGGTTAAAAACTAATTTGGAATATGAATTATTTAAATTCTTTAACGTGTTTGACATTGATTCAATGATTCAATAAGCAAAACTTATCTTAGTGGTACTGGATATTCCAACACTTATGATGTTTTGCTAGAATCTTTACTTTTACAAATTGTCAGATCATTTACAAGAAATTAATTTAGAGTACAGTCCCTTTTATGTATTTGATATTACTTTTAGTTCATATAAAAAAAAGAACGTGTTATGGGTAACATGTATAAGGGATGTTTATTTTACGATTAGAATTGACAAAATGTGTCTTACTTACAGCACACTTTTTATACAAAGGTAATAAACTTGCACATAATGGATCACGTTCCTCCTCTTCCATTTCACATGGAAACTCTAACAAATAAACATGTGATCAAATTATTTCACGAAAGTAAAACGCATTTTAGAGCAGGAAGTCAGCGTATCCTGCATAGATGGGTATGCTCTTTCTTGAATAAAAATGAAAATGAGATACATTTGAGCAGTTTATTCAAAAGAATAAAATCCGTGATTGCCAATCTTCGAAAACTAAAAACCACACGAAGATATGAAGAAGCTGATGCATATGAAAAACATTTATTCCAAATTCCAAAGAGATTTCACATTAAACCAACCAGCACAAATTTGGACTCTCATCATAAACTAATCTCCCTGAAGAAGAAAGTTTCTGTTTTATACTTACAATTGGCAAATGAGAAGAAAAAGGTGAAAAGAAAAAATACTAAAATAACAAATTTGAAGAAAGAAATTGATTTTATTAAAGTTTTGAACAAGAGGCCAAAATCTACAACAAAGTACGTACAAACAGATGCAGTAAAAACATTACCTAAAATCAGCATGGGCTCCCAGTGTAATTTGACAAGGCTAGACAGCATGGAATTAAAGAATGAAATAACTTACTGGCAAAATGAAGTCATCAAAATCAACCAAATGAATGAACGAGATCAACCTTTACCATCGGTGAAAGAAAAAACTAGAGGAAATCCATTCTCCCATAAAATCAGGGAATGTGTATTGGCATGCATTTCGAAAAATGTGCCAATGCAAAATATTTCAGATGTGATTGGCAATATATGCAAAATTTTTAATGTAGAGGAAATAGACACTTTGCCCTCAGTTGCATCAATTCATAACATTTCACGAGAGGCCAAAGCAATATGCAATAAGCAACTTGAAGAGGCAATTAAACATTCTGACAATTTAACCATAATGAAAGATGCTACAACAAAACAAGGGAGACAATTTTATGGTGCGAAAATAAATTGCAGCACAGGAGAATTTACTTAAGGTAATTGATATTACTTTTAGTTCATGTAAAAAAAGATGTCTAAATAGTCTAATTCGGTTGGTCACAAATAGGGGTCCAACAACAACAAGGACCCCACCAAAATATAAACCTAAACTGTGTACAGGCCTTGCATGATTTCAATTATAGAGAAATGGAATGTTCACATTTTAAGATTTTCTATCTCTTCTGTCATATAATTTAGTTGTGAACTGTAAACATATTTAAGGTATCATAAAATTGATTAAAAATATGGGAAAAGAATGAAAACCATAACAGCCAGTGGCAAATATTTCATGCATATTCCTGACAAGACAGGATGAACACATAGTATTATTATTATATGTGAATCACCAAACATATGCTTTGCAGGATTAAAAGAGATATCAAGTGGGACGGCAGACAAATATGTAAAAGCGACATTAGATATGGTCAATGAGGCTTCAACCACTACTGAATTTGTTGGGAAATTAACGAACTGCATGACAGACAGGAGTGCGACCGAGTTGAAATCCAACAAGTTACTTAGCGAACTAAAAAAAGAGGAATTGACAAACGACAGTGAACTCAATGAGTTTCAGTGCTCCGTACACCCATTGTTACAATTTGCGGATGAAGTGGAAAAAGTTGCAAAGGAAATTGAAAAGAAGTATGATGTGAAGTTTAAGAACTTATTTCGAAACAAAGGCGAATCGTATTCTCATAATTTGATACGGTGTGTTTCCAAGTTATTTCATAGTGACAAAGTTGGAGACCCCCTTTTTTGTCGAAATTTTTTACGGCAAAATGATATAGTACATGTCCCTATATTAGACTTTGTGGGCAATCGCTTCAATACTCTATTTTATAATGCTTGTGGTACTTTTTACCTTAAAGATCTTCTGACATCATACATTACTTCTTCAAAAGATAAACCGAATTTTATGTTCACATCTATTCTGCAACTATTTGAGAATGAAGTCATAACAGCAATAATACAATCTATTGGAATCATCTACATCAAAATTACCGCTCCTTATTTTTCTTTGGCATCTCAGAACAAACCTGCACTGGAAATGGCAACAACTTACAACACTTTGGTTGATGAATTAGAAAAAATCGTTAAAAATCCCGCTTTACTTTTAGATACAGAATATATAATGTTTCCAGGTCATCCTTCGGAAATTTCTACTTTTAATATGGCAGTTTTAAAACCACTGGTAGCATATGCTACAGTTATAGAATGTCTTGGACAAATGGCATTGTCTATCTTAAGTAAATGCCGGAAATTTTTCACAAATTATCTTCCAGGAGGAAAATACCATAATCCATCTTTAAAAACAGTTAATGAGTCATCAACTTGTCCGTCTAATAATATTTCTTTAGAGAGAATGATGGGACAACTCGACCGCCAAAAAAACCATTTCACCCAACATAAGTTTGACGACAATAAATGCAAAGTTGATGTTGAAAAACAACAAGACAATGGCATGGCTAGGGGAAAAAAATGAGGAGGATAAAAGTATAATTATGGCCCAGGCAAGAAAAGATGCTGAAATTTTAAAAGAAAAATCTATTGCAGATCACATAAAAATAGAGCAGGAAAGGAGAGAAACTATCAAAGAAAGAATTGAAGAAAAAGAGGCAAAATTGAAAAAATCACAACAACATTTAAAAGATGTAATTAACCAAATTGACAAAATGGGGGGGAAATGGAAAAATGAATTTGAAATGAACAGCTATATTCAGGCATTGCAGTATAAAAAAGATAAGTTGAATGCTTTAAAAACCCAAATTTTATTCCGAAAAGATGTTGAAAAACAAATTTCTGACAAAACCCTGTTTAGAAGAAATTTAGATATACAGCAATTACAGAAAAATTTGATAAATTTGATGGAAGAAGAAAACAAAATAACAAATCTTAAGGATGCCATAGTTCCAATGGAGGTAGATGCAGATATCAATTTGAGTGGAATATTAAGTAACCATGACAACCCATCATCACCATTGCCAGCTTCTTCAACCGTAATTTCAAACCCTGATCAGTCACCATCTATACCTGAACCATCAACAGCTAATAATTCTCAGTCGCCATCATCATCATCCGTTCCAAAACGTAATCAGTCTGCATCTCCATCTGCACCAACACAACATGAATTAATTTCTAAACCACCATGCTGGTTTAACCAGAAGTACATAACACATACTTGGGATGAGGGGTCAGAATTGACAACCTACCATGGGAAAATTGTACATTATGCGGCACGCAGAAAAACTTTTAGGGTACAAAAAAATTTCAAATTTATCTGGCGTGCATGTAGACTCCTTGTTTCACATTTGTTTTAATGGTGTACTGAAAAATTAGACTTACATTGTCACCATGGGAAAATAATAATATAACAACCTTATTGAGGTGAACAAAATACCTTCCTTATTCATTGTTGAAGCATATATTCGCAAATGTTTTTATTTCATTTGATGCATGCAATTTTTAACACACACTTTATCATTAAATATATATATCATGTTACATCCAAGGTGTAGGATTACAACACATCATCACACCCCATCCCTTCACAAGTTATGGTAGGAACACGTGCAATATTTCACGCATTGTACAAACTTAATTTCAAGGGTTTACACACATTTACAGGTTGTATTTATTAATTATATATATAAAAAAGAAGATGTGGTATGATTGCCAATGAGACAACTCTCCACAAGAGACAAAAAAGACACAGACATTAACAACTATAGGTCACCGTACGTCCTACAACAATGAGCATATCCCATACCGCATAGTCAGCTATGTAAATGTATATATAGATTGTAGAATGTAGATACATGTAGATATATATATATGGAACTGCAATTATTCAGTATTTAAAAATAAATTCCAAGTCTATCTTTTTCCTGCTTGTAATTCCATTATACTCAATTTCCTAAAATTTTTCATGTTGAATATTTTAGCGACTTGTGTACAATGGAACTGATCAAATTGAAAGTTTAATATCAAACCATATAAACTTTGACAAGAAAAATTGAAGCCTACCACAAAAGTTGACTCTTTTATATGTTAATTAGCAAAATTTAATTCATTGCAATAAAATTACTGATATGGCTGCCATAAAGAATGACTACTTCAGTCTGCTCCCCTAAATGTAACAAAACACTAGTTTTATTTCACTGTTCAATAATGCTTTCATAGCTTAAGTTGTGGCTTTGTCATTGCTTTATTCATGCTGCATTTTGTCACTTTATGTTGCATTGCTTTTATATATTATGTTGCTTTGTGTTAGTTACTTTATGTTGCTTTGTGTTAATTTATGTTGCTTTGTGTTACTTCATATTGCATTTTTTAGTTTATGTTACTTCATGTCATTTTATGTTGCTGCTTTGTGCCAGTTAATTATTGTGTTGCTTTTATTTTATTTTTAAATAATGATTTGAGAAAATTTATTTGTTTACTAATACTGTACAGTGTTGTGAAATACGACTTTGAATCTACTTTAACAAAAGCTAAAATAAGAATATATTTCTTTTAACAGGTAATATATTGGAATGAACTGGAGGGCCAAATAGAGAACACAAACCTTGAAAAGTATGACTTAACAGTGAATGAATTGAAAAATGACATAAGTGAAGGGACTTTAAAGATTATGTAAGTGTTCTTCAATAACTATAAATTGAAATAATTTTAGATGTTTTCTTTTGAAATTACAAGGAAAACTTGGACATGTAGGAGTATGCCCATGAAGGACTCAAAATGACCCTTAAAATCAAAAATATATCCTAAAAATAAAAAAATAGAAAAGAATGTGTTGCTTAAGGTAGATAGGGTGTCTTCCTCCATCTTGGATTTTGAAATACCAGAAAACAATCGGTCTAGATCTTTAATAAAAGGTGCAAATTTTGAGAGTAGTAGGTAATTCATGTGTAAGAATTTTCATTTCAATATAGAAAATGACATATTTAATCATATTTTTGGTTGTATTTTACAAAAAAAACAGAATTCTTTTGTTTGATTCTATTTTTTCCAACTTTGCCACATAAGGGGAGGCAACTCAAATGTAAGGGCAGATAATTCAGATAAAGTTACTTTTACAATAGAATGTGTTAGGAATTTACCTGTTTTATTATGTAGCAAGAAAACGGGTCCCGTGACCCCATTTTTTCTTTTTCTTATCTGAAAGCATACTATTAGAGCAATCTTCTCATATTTTATCTCAAAATTCTATGGTGTAGTTTTCGTTTTATGGCAGAAAATTGGGTTTTCCATGCATAATCTATACAAAATCTGTCAATTTTGCACAACATGTAGCGTGAAAATAAGCCCCGTGACTCATTCTTTTTACTATTTTTTTTTAAAAAGCATGATATAAACTACATTTTGGCAAATTATTCAAAAATTCTATGGATTATAATTTAGACACCCCATCTACCTTAAATCTGAAGAGTTAGAAATAATGAATGAAAAACATAAAGAATAGAGAAACATGATCTCACAAAGTAAGAATAACAAATAAAGCTACCCATTCAGACAGTTTTAAAAGTGGTAATTTTAATTTAATTTGTAGAAAAAAAACTTAGAATTTATTAAAAAATGTTGACGATAAAAAAAAATCATTTGAACATTGAATCGAAGAATTATGTGATCACAATTTGTTCCATTGTTCTTTTCTGTCAACATAATAATTTTTTTTTATTTTTCAGATATTGATTTAAGAAAGAGACTATAGTTTATTTTAATCAAACTTTTTATAGTAAGTAATAAAAATGAATAAGAGTTATCTCTCTTTGCCAAGTCAATTTTTGGGAAATACCTATTTGTTACTATATAAAGATGCTTCAATAACGTCCTTAAAATAGCATCCAATCAAAAAGTGTAATATTTACAATTTAGGTGAAGGTCTCCAGGTGAATATTTTATGAAGAAAAGTAGATTGTAGTGAAGTTGAATTTTTTTCCTGAAGTAGCTACATGTAGCGTGACAAAGAGAGGCACGTTTTTCTTTACTGACTTTTATAATGCTAAAGAGAATTTTCCCTATATACACAATATTTTCAAGAAAGTACAATGAAATCTTAGTCATACAACTCCTGATCACTCCTCTGTTTTATAATTTTTCGACAGGTAACATACTCTGTGGTAGGACATCCTAGTACCCGGTCAAGTAGGAGCAATCAAAAGAAGAAAATTAAACATATAATCGGTGTATTTTGGTGGGAAAGTTTATTTTTTCCGATGCCTTTGACATGTATAGAAAAAAATAAAGCAGTTAATTTCCCCCCTAAATTGTACCGATTGTAAGCTTGATTTTACTTCTTTAGATTGCTCTTACTTGACCGAGTACCAGGATTTCCTACCACAGAGAAGGTAACCTGTCGAAAAACGTTAACCTCCGGAGTCAAAAGTCGGTAATATGCAAATAATATCTTGGCCGAGTCAACAGGTAATTAAACGGAAAGAAATCATTTTGTATTCCGAATTATTCCCCAGCTAACCCAAAATGAATATGCATAAGGGAGAATTACAAACTACAGTTTGGATATAACCTTTAATTACGACAGAGAGCAATATTGATGTGGTATGATTGCCAATGAGACAACTATCCACTAGATTTTGTTTCATAAGGCTAATTCAGTTGATAATAAATATGGGTTAATTCGAAAAATCCATGAAACTTAGACTGAATCAAAACAGTTTGAAGGCCAAAACAAATAAGATGTTGAATAGCATTGAAAACCACAAATTCCGAAAAGTTGAACCAAATACAGCTAAGGCCATCTATGCCTCGGGTAGAAAAACCTTAGTGTTTCGAATCATTCAAAGAAACTCATCATGGATACCAGGATTAAAATTATGTACGCCAGATGCGCGTTTCGTCTACAAAAGACTCATCAGTGGCGCTTGAATAAAAGTTTGAAAGGTAAAAATTTGATAAATAGAAAATTTACAGAAATTGTCCGTGTTATTGATATTTTATGTCAACACAGAAGTGCCGACTACTGGGCTGTTGAAACCATCGGGGACACGACGTCCACCAGCAGTTGCATCAATTGTTTATGTCAATGTATATCACTTATTGTAGTAATGAATTCTTCGCACTTACGGAAAATCTGAAGAACAAATCATTGCACACAATGCATTGTAATTTGAAAAACCAATATTTTACTAATGCCTTGATAAAATTTCAGGGGATCCATTTTTAAACTAAATTTCAAATACGTCATTTATATTTTAAAATATACTTGATCAGTGACTGTTACTCCCTGTAATAAAAATCTCCCTTGCTTTCGAATAGTGTATAATTTAGGCGTATGTAAGATGGTGCATAAAATGAATGTTAATGTCACTGCACCATAATACACGGAAATTCGAATTACTATATAATATATAGTCACCGCTTTCACAGATGGGGAATTAAGTTCTTGATCAAATTGACCGAAAAATTAAAAGAAAAACACACCAACATCCCAACACACTATTGCATCCACGAATGAAATACAATTATGTTGAAATTGAACTAAAATGAACAATAGCACTATAAAATATAAAAAAGCACATATATAAAGATACATGAATAATACACAATAAAAAACAAATCACCACGATCGGAATATCCGTTACCCAATCCACTAGAATGACTGCTTCTAGTTTTATATTGAACTTTGATGTATTCTGAAAGCATTGCCTTTGAATTTTTTTATCTACCGTAACAATTCAACATGGATATTCTCTCATCATGGCTATAACGAATTTTATTTGTTTAGATGAGTTGTTGCGTTGTTTTACAGACTGCTTAGGGAAACCTGTATCGCGTCTACCATAAGTTGGTTTGTTTACCTCTAAATTATAGCATTTTTTCTCATCATAACTTGCAGAGGACGAAGAACAACTATATTCAAAAGGACTTGGGCAATACACGAAGTAGACAAATCATAAACAAGGAGGCAATTTAACTACTAATGTTATCACTACCACTTTGGTCATACCTCTGCTGGTGGACTGTTAGTCCTTGAAATCCAACAATGTAGCCGGAACTTCGATAATGGCATGAAAATATGGATAGTGTTTTATTGAAATTTGATGTTGTGAACTTTTGGAAATCAAGGAATTATCTCCCTCATGCTTAGCACTGCTTCTTTGTCCGGGTTTTGCTTAACTTTTAGACATTTGATATGTTATCGCCTCTTCAAGGTTTATATTAGGTTTAAGATTTTCAAGCATTTGGTCTCGAGCATTACTGAAAAGACATTTATGTTCGAAATACTTATAAGGTGCAGTTAAATCGGTACCGTCAGTATTATTTTTTCTTTAGAAGGTAAACCGTAAACCTCAGCAAGGAACAAACCTCATTGAGACATTAGAGAGCAATCCTTCTTGAAAGCTTATATTTAACAAAGTTGTAATTTTCAAGAACAGTATATAGACTGTTTGTGAATTCGAAATAATGATACTAGCTAACAAAACTACATGTGAAATTTAAATGAACACTATACGTGTTTAGAACGTACATTTTCTTTGCAGACTTGTACTATAAAAATTAAAGCAAACAAAGATAACAATTTCATGCAAGCCGTGTAGTGGAGAAGACCGCTGATACTTTTATATGTTTACTGTTGATTTGCTATTCCGTCGAAAAAAACATTTAATATAAATTTCTCAACAGTGATTCTTAACTTAATAAATTTTAAAATGTTGCTGGGAACGTTTGTATGGAGTTATTTATGTTTTAGATATATAACAACGTGGTACAATATATATTTAAAATTAAGATCCATTTATTACATCGGTGATCAATTTATTTGGTAATCGCCAATGGCAGTCAGCAGGGTTTAAGAACATTGGTTGTTCGACCTGTTAGTCAAATGCGTTTTGTTAAAATATACTCTTTCACTTTTTTGGTCTTTTGGGAAATGTTGTTTGTGCTGTATTTAGACCCCTCTAACAAGAAATTTGTTTTGCATGCACACGTATAAAAATTGCGGTTTTTATCCAACGCAATCATAGGTTTGAACGTTGTTTTCAATTTAGACTTGTTTATATATATATATATATATATAGAGAGAGAGCAAATTTCGTAAATTTACAGATCTAACATTGTTGGGCTGATGTTTAGACGAGTTATATATATATATATATATATAAGTTACCGCTCTTCATCTTAACAACAACATTCTTCAAGGCACCTATTTCCATAAAATCCGTAAAAACAACGAATCTGTACAACTTTTACTAGCGTAAGAATAATTATGTTCCTTTGGGGGCATTCTGTATTAGAAAACATGGATGATAATGATATAGGTTTTACACGTCCAGGATCATCCATAAAATACATTTCAGGACAATAACATGTTAATTTGATATGATAATGAACCATCATCATCGCCCATGCTATTTATGTATTAAAATGACACGATGAGCCGGATATTTAACGTGCTTGTTCACAAGGCAACAGTCTGTTAGAAGACATTTCATCCTACCCGGACACATTATTCCGACTCCAAGCGACTAATTTGTGTTCTTACACCTAAATTCCACGTGCTTAGCGGAGCAACAAAACGATTTTTTAAGTCTTTAGTTATATCCGGCAGAAAATAGATCCAACGACCACCCGCACTCAAGGCGGGCATGCTACCACGAGACCGAAGAGGCAGATAGAAAACAAGAAGAGCGCAATATCGTATTCAACAATACCTGAATACTAATAAGAGTAGTTTAATTTTTTGTGTTCAGAAGAAAACAATAGTCGCTATAACGCCGTTGGTACAACAGATTTCATTAAAGAATAAATTCCAACCCAACACACACACACACGATATACAATATAATATGAAAACGAATAAAAACAAAAACATATTTGTGGAATGCGAAAATTGGAACGAGAAAAATGATACATACAGGATTCAAGCTATATTCTCTGCAATATTACTTAATTAAATGTAAATTCGATATATAACCCTTTCAACATTGTATTATTCTTTAGAAACACACAAAAAAAGTCCCAAAGAACGCCATTCTTTTGGAAGTTTGCCAAAACATTTTTTCTGAAAATTAATGTATTTTTTCTCATCTTGGACTTGGTGTTTAATCAGTGGCGTAGTTTCCATTGAGGCAATGAGGCAAATGGCTCACCTTTTTCATCATTAAAAAAAGAGAGATAAAGAGAAAATTTGTATCATGTATATCATAGTATAGAGTACAGAGTGACGACGGTACCAAACCTTGACTTCTTTACCGTTTACACACGCATTCCTCATTATTAACTCTAAAACTTTTCAAGTCAAACGTTCTTTTATAAAAATGAACTAGGGGAAGGACTCATTATCTTTTTTAATGAACAGTATACTTTGTAAAAATAGTGATTCAAACAAAAGGTCATAACTGTGAAATTGACATGATGCTTGATTTTGTTGTTGACAACGTTACTTTTGATGAATGTAGTTTTAAACAGACACTTGGCATTCCTATGTGACAAACCGTGTTCTTCTTCCTACTGACATGTACCTTGGTTATAATAAGCAAGACTACATAGTTCCCCCAGTTATTATAATCCCTTTATCTTGTCCTACACGTATAAAGTTCAAGACAGTGGATCTGAAACTTTAATATCACCAAAATCTGAACAAAAACATTCTACAGGAGGTCGTGCATCTGATTCTGTTGGTTATTTTTGTTTTGATCCGGACAGGTCCGTAGTTTTTAAACAGCAGATTCATTGAAATCTATTGATTTAATGCTCACCAGAAAATACTATTATTTCATGATACAATTTTTAAATCTGAATTTTTCATAGACAGGATCTTTGTGCCAGTGTGACAAATCAAAATTATGGTCACCTCTTTTTAAAATAAATGCATATGAATAAACATTTATGAAACAAAGCAGTTATATCATATATATATGTAATAGAATTAACAGCACAACACGAGAAAAAAAATGTAAACTAGACAAAGTGATGCCCCCGCACT